AAGAAGCACTTATGCAGGTTGGCCCATAGCTGATTCTCCTGTAACACCTCTAACACTACCTTCAAATGCTCCTTGTCCGACCTGCTGTACACCAATATGTCATCAAAGACAGCACAAACCTTCTGAGGCATGATCAAAACAACCTGTTTATAACAGACTTGAATGTAGCAGGTGCGTTGGTAAGACCAAACAATATCACCAAGAACTCGTAGTGTCCCTCATTTGTCTGGAATGCAGTCTTCAGGATATTCTCCTCTCTCATCTTGATATGATGCTACACAGACTTCAGATCCATCTTTTAGAACTCCACAACTCCACATAACTCATCCAACAACTCGTTTATCACTAGAATAGGAAACTTTTTTGGCTGTCTCCTTATTCAGGGCCTAGTAATCCACACAGAATCTCCTGCTCCAATTCCTAAATTTTGACAAGTACAACTAGGGTAGAAAAAAGGACTCACGCTCGACCTGATGCTGCTTGCCTCAAACATTTCCCTTATCAGCTTCTTGATCTCATCCTTTTGGATTTAAGGGTATTGAAGGACCTGGCACTAATTGGTGACACTCCTTTCCTTAAGGTGTTGGCATGCTCCTGCTCCTTTTGTGGTGACAATCCTTGAGGTGGCTGAAAGACCTCATCAAATTACTATATAAGTGGCTATCCTGAAAGATGGATGTCTCCCTCTTCCTCAAATTTGATCTTCTCTAAGCTCTGCAGCTCCATCAGAAATCCTTCCCCCACCTCCTGTATGGTCCTCACCATGGTTTTGAGAGAAATTGATACTTTTGGATAATCCTGCATCTCCGCCACCCTTCTTCCCTCCATCATCAATTCCATCATCAATGCTCTCCAATCGAGCACCCCTTCATTCATACCCAACCCCCTCACGCCTCTCCCCATACCTTTTATCTGTCTCCTACCTAGGAATAGACTCTAGAGGAGGTTTTCTCTCTTCTTCCTCCAAGATCTTCTCCCCTTGTTCTTCCCTTCTCGTTATCAGATTTGGGTTTTCCCCACTCCCTTGATTGCCTATGCTTCTCTCACCTTATCAATGCCGTTTTAGTTTGGCCCTCAAGCAACTTCTTCATCATCTCCTCCATGATGGATAATTTCCCATCAATCTTCTCGTGGTTGGCTGAAATTTTGGTTTGGAAATTTAAAATTTCAGATTTTAATTGTTCGATCTCCTCTTCCAACACTTCTGCCTCTTTTCCCGTCATTGGTACCCTTCTAGGCTCTAATACCAATTTGATATGAAGTGGATGCAATTTCAGCAAACACCAGTGAACAGTACAAGAAGATTTTGGAAGGACACCCAAAAATAATTTTTATTGAAAGAAGTATGAAGAGAAATGCAAGATACAATTAGATCTTCAATTAGAGAGGAAGATCCAGCTCTCCCAAATTCCTAGTCGTCGTTTAGAGCCCTCCTGACTTAGGCAAACTTCAAAAATAATAAACAAGACATAGCTAAAACCTCAGGTAAACAACCTACTTAAAACATACATTCCCTCTAAAGAAAATCCCTAAACAACCCTCCGTATTTAAAATTTCCCCCATAATCGCCCCCTCATCTATTCAAAAATTCTCCTTGTGCTCACTTCAAGGGGACAAGAACCACCCCCCCCATTCTCCTTGTGCTCACTTCAAGGGGGCAGGAACAAAAAAAAAAAGTAAATAAAACTATCTTTAAGTGCACCAAATGCACCTCGTCCGACCCGCTGTACACCTAGATGTCATCAAAGAAAACCGGTACAAACCTCCTTGAGGTTCGGTCAGAACACTATGTTCATAAGGGACTGAAATGTAGCAGGGGCATTGGCGAGACCAAATAGTATCACCAAGAACTCGTATTGTCCCTTTTGTGTCCATAATGCAGTCTTCAGGATATTCTCCTATATTATCCTGATCTGATGGCACACGGACTTCGGATCCATTTTCGTGAACACCACCACACCACATAACTCATCCAACAACAAGTTTATCACCGAAATAGGAAACTTGTTTAGTATTGTCTCCTTATTCAGGGCCTAGTAATCCACATAATCTCTAGTTCCCATTCCTACATTTTAACCAGTAAGTCTGGGAAAGGAAAAGGACTCATGCTCGACCTGATGATCCCTGCCTCCAACATTTCCCAGATCAACTTCTCGATCTCATATTGGATTTGAGAGTATTGATAGGACCTGGCACTAATTGGTGACATTCCCTCCCTCAAGGTGATGGCATGCTAATGCAATAAAAAATATCGCAAATTACATAAAATTAGGAAATCCTTTATAATTACCACACTTAAACAAAACACAATACAACTTTCATAGAATAAAGACGATGCTTACAAACTTATGACATAAAACACCTAAACTTGCTTGCATTCCTTGATTGAGAAGAAAGATACAAGTTGTGTGGAACTTGCGGAGAGAAGAAAGAGATAAGAAGCCCAAGACAAAGTCAAAGAGAGGAAAAGTAAAAGGGGGACTAGCTTGCAAGCTTTCCCAAGAAGAAGAGAAATGGAACAAGCTCGCAAGCTTTTCCAAGAAGAAACCCACATGTTTTGCTGTCCAAAAATTATCACATAACTCCTTTTTTCATTCATTGAGAAGAAAGATACAAATGAGGTGGTCACTTGCGGAGAGAAGAAAGAGAAAGGGAGCCCGAGACGAAGTCGAAGAGAGGACAAGCTCGCAAGCTTTCCCAAGAAGAAGAGATAAGGAACAAGCTCGCAAGCTTTTCCAAGAAGAAAATCGTCAGTTTTTTGGCTCCAAAAATCATTACATCTCTCTTTTTTTCATTTATCGAGAAGAAAAATACAAATGAGGTGGTCACTTGCGGAGAGAAGAAAGAGGTAAGAAGCCTAAGACGAAATCGAAGAGAGGACAAGCTCGCAAGCTTTCCCAAGAGGAAGAGAAAAGGAACAACCTCGCAAGCTTTTCCAAGAAGAAACCCGCAGGTTTTGCTGTCAAAAAAATTTTTATCAACAAACAACCCTTATTTATAGTTGAAAAGAGGCAGCCAAACAACCCCCAAAACCTCCAACCGAACCAATCAGAACAGGGGAAATAGAAGGCCATCAGGTGGCTAGGAACAACAGCCAAAGGGGCCACAAAAGGGGATAGGAACGGGCGCCCACAGGGAACCAAAACAGGCAGCCATCGGGAGGGGGGGGGGAGGAACCAGCCGCGTAATTGGAGTCAGGCGGAGGAACCGAAGGGCCACAGAGATCGGGAAAAGGGGGAAGAAACAGGACACCACAATAATGAGCTGAAAAAGGCATTCCACTAAACATTAATGAGCTGAATTAGAAGAGGATAGAGCAGCTCACCAAAGAAGACAGCCTAAACCAAACCCAAACATGAACCCAAAATCAATTACCCCCCTTCTTTGCCTACATCACATGCTCCTGCTCCCTCGGTGGTGGAAATTTTTGAGGTGGCTGAAAGACCTCATCGAATTGCTGTATAAGTTGCTATACTGAAATATGGATATCTCCCCCTTCCTCCAATTTGATCTCCTCTAAGCTCTGCGGATTCATAAGAAATCCCCCCCATCTCCTATATGGTCCTCATCATGGTTTTGAGAGAAATTGAGGCTTTTTGATAACCCTGCATCTCCCCTGATCACCACCCTTCTTCCCTCCACCATCATTTCCATCGTCAATGCTCCCCAATTAAGCACCCCTTCATTCATACCCAACCCCCTCACGTCTCTCCTCATGCCTTTTATCTATCTACTCCCTAGGAATAGGCTCTAGAGGAGGTCTTCTCTCTTCTTCCTCCTAGATCTCCGCATTTTGTTCTTTCGCTCTCCTCATCGGATTCGGGTTTTCCCCACTCCCTTGATTGCCGGTGGCTTCCCTTGCCTCCGACGATGCCTTTTTTGTTTGGCCCTCGAGCAATTTCTTCATCATCTCCTCCTTGATGGAAAATTTCCCATCAATCTTCTCGTGGATGGCTGAAATTTGAGTTTGGAAATCTAAAATCTCATATTTCAATTGTCCGACCTCTTCTTTTAACACTTCTGCCTTTTTTTCCGCCATAGGTACTTGGATATAGGCTCTAATGTCAATTTGATACGAAGTGGATGCAATTTCAGCAAAAACCAGTGAACGGTACAAGAAGATTGGGAATAAGAATGCCCAAAAACAATTTGTATTGAAAAACTATGAAGGGACATACAAGATACAATTGGATCTTCAATTGGAGAGGAGCATCCTGCTCTCCCAATTTTTTAGCTGTCAGCTAGAGCCCTCTCAACCTAGCTAGCTGTTGTTGTTGCTGAAGATGACTAAGATGGGCCCTTCTCGCCATAGATTGGGTTCATTTTCATTCATGCTATTATATTTTTAACTTTTTTTTTGTTTTTATGCGCCATGGCTCTAAATTGCCTTAAAGCTAGCTGTTGTTGTTGCTCTACTTCATACACCTTGAACGCATTACCTAAAAGCGTTGAAGTGGTGTGACATCCTGTGTGCTGGTTGGATGCCAATGTGGTGTCGTCTATCCATACTACTACTAGGCACAAGAAGCACCATTGGCATCAAATCGTTAATAGGGAATAGAATACTAGAGGAGATATAAATAAGTGAAGGAAGAGATTTCTGTGTTTTGGTTGTTACTGTTAGATGCTTGTGGATTTGGGCAGCTTACCTCGAGCAATCGAGTCCTCTGCAGGTGAGAGTTGAGACCAATTTCTTTAAGCTAAAATCCTTGTTATAGAAGTCTCTATAACCTGGGCTTCCTCTATCATTTACGATGGCTCACACTAGCTGCATAGTGAGCCAGATTCTTGGTTTTGGGCAACTATGATGGGAGAACCGGAAGCTAATGAATGTCTCTGATCATGTAACCTAAGGATATTTCAAATTTTTATTTCTATTTTTTCATGGTTTCGATGACAATAGCTATGTTGTACTTTTTATGATATGATACTTATACTGATTGTTGCGTGGTTGTGGATGACACTTTCATTGCTAAATGTTGTTTTCTATTTGTTTTCAGATATGGAAGACATGTTTTCTTCTTTGATCGATCTTACTGTTGCTGATCTTAAAGATCCTTGTGCTGCATTCCTCGTTGAAGGGCCTAGTGTAACTTCTAATGAAACATCTGCTTCCATTGTTTTGCATGGTTTTGAACTGGATTTCAGCAGATCTATATCTGAAAATGTGTGGTTAACGAGCAATCATATGGAGTCGGATGCAAAGGATTTAGCTTGTTCACAGTTTTTCTCAAATAATAAGTCCCTTTCATTTTCTTCATTACGAGAGGTTAGATTCATAAAAACAAAATTTTATGATATTTGAGAGATTGAGTATGCTACTTGCCACATATAAGTCATGTTTTCTGCAAATCATAGCCCTCTTTAACTTTTTATTCAATCTCTAATATCTTTCGTCAACTTTGCATGAGAAGTCTGTTTGCCTAGGGAAGCACTAAACAATGCTGGAATTAAAATAACTGATTTTCTTATGAAAGGCCTACTTAACTAAATGCTTATATTGTAGGAGCAATATTAAATTTTTTTTTTTACGCTTATGCTTCTTGTGGATCTCTTTTTCTTTAAAAATGTTTCCAGAATAGAATATACGCCCTCCCTATCTATTATTTGAACATCACAGGATTTTTTTTGGAATGTAAACAACATTACCATTTCTCCTTCATTATATTCCCTTTCTGGTGGTATGAAATAATAGACTTGGTATAAGCACCGCTATTTTCTGATGTTTCGGTTTGTTAGAATGCAGATGTCATCTGGATAACGATGCTGTCTAATCGGTCTAGGAATGTTTCTAAATCTGTAGCTCCTGTGGCGGAGTACTTCCCGGGTACTGATTATAGTGTGTTATAATCTTTGAAGCTTATCCTACAATTTGACAAGCTTCCTACCTTAATAACTCTGAGCTCTTTCTATCAATAGCAGAACCAGCAAGTTGTGTATATTCTAATTTGAAGCTAGATGTGCTTTGTTATTCTTCAAAAGAATGTCCCATTGCTTCACTTATCTCCAAATTGGTTGTGCCAGGGTTGATTGACCAGTTATTAACAATGAAGAATCTTATCTCACCAAGTCTTTCAGCGAGCCATCCTCAGGTAACATTATTCTTACGATTTGGATCACCAACCGATCACCAACCTAAGTATTTCTGAAAAATGTTGATCCAGCATCTTCTATGCAAAAGACAAAATTCACAGTTTTTATTGTTTTCCTAGGGCCCCAGTTCTTGAAGTTATATTTTCTATGTCTGGGGTTGGTAGATGGGTAGCAACTTTTTCTTTTGATAAAAAATATTGATGATCTTTCTTTAAACATAAAACATTCACTTTTGAAGCTTTTAGCATTTTTCCTGGAACATGGTTCTTGAGTGCATTTTTTTCCCAAGGGGCAGTGGGGTTGGCTGGTGGTAGAGGAGAGAAGAGGCTTAAATGTAATAAATCCTAAGAGATGATGGGAGTGAGTTAACTCGTTTCAAGAACATTATGCAAATGACCTTTTGTGAAGCCCTTAATGAATGGTTGCAGCACGTAAAATAGCTGATGTTTAAGAAATTTCTATTTCTAGAAATTCTTGTCCAAATAGAAAATCTTTCAGCCAATCTTTCATTTTATCTAAATTTTTAGGCTGGTGAACCTTGTAATTGTGCGTGAGGTTTGACATGTTTTGTTTGCTAAGCTTATGTTATGACTCCTTATGTCTCATAGTTTGTTTTATTTCCATGCATGCTTAGGTCTTCATTTGAGGTGACTTGTGCTTTTCTAGTTGTGCTATTAATAGCTATTTTTCAACCACAGCTTTTATTATGCTTTTCTTCTTTTCTATGGCAAACGTTTGGAAGAGAATAAAAAAGTTATCATCTAAACGGACATTATCTTTTGTTCACTGCTTTGTTTTGCTATATAAACAGTCAAAAAATTATGACAAATGAAACCCAAGTATATCCATCTTCTTAAGTTTAGTTTCAGCTTTTGATTACTTTAAAATAATTGTTGGTACTATAGGTTAGACCATGCAATGCATATTATGGATACCAAAATCTAGTTGTACATTCCTGATTTTTTTGAATGCGTGCTAGATTTATTGTAGCTTTGTATTAAACATTTCTTAATTTATTTAGTCTGCTATGGTAAGCCCATCACACAATCCTTCTAAGAATGCATATAAATTGTTTAAGATGCCTGATTTTTACATATAAACTAATTTTTATAACAAATTTTTTTAATTTTTATCTTTTTTTGCACATTTGGATTCCACAATCAACTATTTTTACTATTAGGAGCTTTTCCCTTCGAAACTCCAAGCGCATCTTCTGCAATAATCTTAATATCACTAGCTACTTTTTCCCACATAACATTTGCATTTTCATGCACCATCAAAATCTTAAGATTTAAAATCTTACTCTTAAAAATATTTTTGTTAATATTCTTTAAATGCCACCATCTAATCCTAGAAAATCGTTTTACTTTATTTTTTATTTTCTGCCCCTTTATCTTAAAGTCCAAAATTAATAATCGATATTGGATACATAAATTTTTATTCGGAATAACTTTACAATCTTTGCAATCTAAACGATCTAATTTTCTTATAAGAAAATAATCAATTTGTGTTTTACTATATCCATTTTTATAAATGATAAGATGCTCATCTCTTTTCTTAAAAGAAAGTATTAGCTATTAAAAAATTATAAGCTAAAGAAAAATCTAATATTGTCTTACCACCTTCATTTATCATTCCAAACCCATGGCCACCACATACCTGTTAACGGCGAATGACGCACCATGGCGCAGAGGTCCATTTGGAGCCATGGCGCATAGCGCACGGCGCGGCGCGCGCTATTTTGAACATGGCGCAAGCTATATAAAAATTATAAAAATAATAAGCAGATATGAAATAATTATTTAAAAATGAAAGACAAGCTATCATAAATAATAAAAGACAACCATGACATATATTAAGTTCGACTAAGTAACATTCAAATATTCTCATAATCCAAATATTACAATCTTTTTTAAAGATCAAATAGAATTAATCTACTTTTTGTGAATCGTCATCAATCACAAACTGTTAAAAAAGCTTGAGTACTTCATTATCTTCTTCACAATTGTCTCCTTTACTTCAATAATCTCTCATTCATCACCTTCCTCATCATCATTTTCAATAAGCAACATCATGCCTAATTGAAGTATTTTTCTCTCTTCCCTTTAGATCTTTTCCGAATTATTAACTTTTTCATAACATCAGTAGCTTTAGCAACACGTCCAAGTAAAATCTTCCTCTCCACAATAAAGTCATTTTCTTCATCAGACTCATCAATCAAATTTCCTGTTAACCATTCATTTGTTATCTTATCTCAGTTAAAAAATTAGGATCAATGACATCCGATGATATTGAATCTCCGAATCAATGCTTTATTATATTTCACATAAACTAATTACCTTTAAGCGACCATATATCAATTTGGCTTCTGTTTGCTATGAATGCCAATTTAAAAATATATTACATTACTATATTATAAACATATATAAAAAATCAACACATACATTATAAAATACTTACATGTTCAAAAATAGTACTCCAATTGCGTTCGCATCAGATGAACTAAATGTTAAACTTAGGACTTGATAGCAAAGCTTTGTAAATTGGGAGCTCCTTATCCATATTGCCAACCACCAAATCAGCATGGAAAGAAATGAATTTTTTCTAATATTATTAACAATCAGTTCTTAATTTTTTTGTAAATAATGATACTGGAGATCGGTGTTCTTTGTCTTACAGCTGGCAAGGAATACAAAATCCTCATTCCCACCTTATGCATAAACTTAATTATTACTGATTTATTCTTCTTCAGCTACATCTTGAGATAATTTCCAATACATTGGTTAAAGACCATATAGCTATTTCGTTATCCTTAGCTAATTCAGGGTTATTGAAGAAATATTCAGGATTTAAAAAATGTCCCTCTGATGTAGGAGCGATGTAATTGCACTTTCCCATCTTCCATCAATCATTTTAAAAATTTGATCATCAACTTTACTGTATTAAGCTTGCAGCAATTGCCTCTTTGCTCTATCAATTACTTCATATATGTAAGCCATTGGAGGGCTTCTTCTCTCCATCTAACCAATCTCAAGAACTTTAATAAAGGACCAGCTATTTTTAAGGCATAACTATATATTCACAATGATTGTTGTAGATTGTATTGTGAGATTGTTTTGCTTTAGCCTCTTTCGCATAAGGGACCTAGATAATAATCCTCACAAGTAAATATTTTCTTTCAAGTTAGTTGTTGTTTATGAAACGTTTGTAAAGTTAAGAAAACTGTGTAACGCAGAGTCTTTGCGGGTTTGACAAGTGCTCTTTGATTTTGCACCTTCTCATTACTCAAGTAGCGGAGCCTAGAATATCTAAACGTGTATGCCACTGCTTTCTCAAGCATCGCCTTAGCTTTTGAATCTTGAAAATGTCCTACATATAATAAATCAAAAAACACAGTGTGAAAACAGCAAAGACAACAAGGAGTCCAATCAAATCGTATAGCGATAATTTATGAGAATCCATAACAATAATTTTCCTGTTCATGCATCATAAACTTTAAGATTAAGAAATATATATCATAGTATCATCTTATAAATAACATAACTTATTCTTAGAGTATAAAAGTTGTGACACAATACGTATGCAAGGAGAGCATTTGTCGCGACTCACTGCATTATCTTGTTGACGTACCTTGGCAACAACTCCCAATACTCTTTCACTTATTTGGTCTTATAACGGCATAATTAACACTCCCAGATTTACATGCCATAAAAAGTTTCAAAAGCATTTTCACAGCGACTTTTCGAAAGAACTAGTATCAATTTGAATTCGTAGAAAGCTACACGTACCTCTTGGACAATATACAAGAAAATTGATTAAGCTTTTTCCCATTTCCTCGATCATGCTCCTCCATCTTAGCCATTAAGAGAACAAACACATCGTACACAATCTTACTTCTAGATCGGCGTCATCGCAAGCCATGTGTTATGACACTCCTAACCTCTTTCTCTCAAACAATGTAACTCGTACCCTATGGGATAATAGGACGTGTTATTCCAAGGTTCCAAAACTGCCCAAGTCCGCCTCCAACCATAGCAATGAGGAAACTATCCATCAGTTCACAACATTCTAAAAAATGGAAATCCCAGCATCGTACATCCCATTACTGAACACTTGAACAGCCCTTCCCCTCATTTCTTTTTTAGCTGCATCATTTCTTTTGTAAACTGGACCTTTTCTATGCTTACTACGATCTTCAGGATTTGGTGTAAGCGAAAGTATCTAATGGACCTTTAGTATGTGATGTTTTGAGAAGATGTAATGTCGATCCATTGACTAGATGTGTTAGGATTTTGTTTTCGTCCGCAACATTTGGATGTTTACAAACTAAAATATCATGCTTGTATCACATCAAGTCTTTTCCTTCTTCTCAGTAAGTTGACATTGATATGTCATTAAACTATTCTTAGATCTTTTTTTTTTCAATATGGACTGTTAACGTGCTCGCATTTAGAGCAAGGCCTGCATCCTAAAACCCCAAACGAGGTGTTGTTTGTTGGCGTTGTAATCTTCATTTTGTTAATTTACACAAAAATGCAGTCACACTTTGTTGTCGGGATTCATTTGTTAGTTATAGCATATTTCCGATGCTGGATCTTTTTTTAAAAAGAATAAAATAAAGAACCATTTTATGATCACCTAAAAGCAAAAGTAACAATTTAAAGATAAAGAACATCAATTTGTAACTAAGAAACAATAAATATGGGCTGCAGGGGACTCCAAGGAGCACTGCCCCCCTGAGCGGATGTTCGACCTGTAATGAAAAATAGGGAAGCTTGGACTGAGCATGCTACTAAGTTAACCGCAATGTACCGGACAAGTAATAATGCATTACTTAAGCAATACCAGCAAGTTATACCGAGCGTTTTATGATACCTAGTCTGTACCGAGCTGTACCGAATGCGAAAAATAAAAACATGTACCCGAAGCCCCAAAAAATGGGGTACGACATTTACATAAGCCTTAGAATCTAACATGAACGAACACCTTAGTCATAGGC